TTAGCCATTCAAATAAAAGCCTTATACTCATGATAAAAGTTTGTGATTGATGGCCTTAAGAAAAGTTAGCTGATATTTTGCATATGGAAGCATTGCTCTATTTAAAGGTCTTCAGGAGAGACCTAGAGAACTCGTTGTCCAGGTTTTCTGATTTATCATTCTTCAGTACCTTGAGCATATTTGGCAGACCTGCATCAGGATCCTTTGTGTTCTGTGTCTCAGATCCTATTCCTCCTCCTCATGTCACAGTGTTTCTTAATACAGTGTCGAGATGGGTGTGGATCTGAGCTGGTGTCACAACTGGGTGAAATACATAGGCTGGTGAGTCCTATCATGCAGCCCAGGATCTGAGGTCCTCGTAGTAATCTAGACACACATTTTTCTGTCTATACCTGCCTGACTTCCTGATATTAACCAGGGCACATAAACATGTAATTTTGCTCTCTGGGCCGCATTTGGAGTTTTAACACAAATCTAAATAGCTGCACCAATGAAAGCACTCATTAATCTGGCTCTGCTTTAACAAAGAGAGTGGCTGGAAAGATGAAGCAAAGCAAGGGTGTGGCAGATTATCAACCAAAAATTCAAATCTTTTCCAGTTTAGTGGAAAGTGGAGCTTGGGAGAGAGGCATAAGCACAGCTGTGATGAACTCAGTCGGCCAGTGAATGCCAGCACTGCTCTCTACAATAGCAATAAGAAAATCAATTATCTCCATCATGAAAAACACATGGAACAGAAGTATTTCAATCTCCCCCTCCTTCACTCCCCCTGTTGTGCTGCTTTAGGTGTAGTTTTCTTTTTTTAATCCTAGGAGTTGTTTTATTTTTAAGGACATTTTCTATATTTCAAATCACTATAAGACCTTTTAAAATGTACCTATGATAATATTCACTTAAAAATATACAGAATCCATGGCAGAATTGCAGCCAAAAGTAGGATAACTACCAATGCAATTGTAAAATGCAGTGAAGGTCTTCTTTGTTATTCCTAGAAAGGTGGATCTGTTCATTCAGTTTACATGGGTGAAACCACATTTAGAGAGTTGTATTCACTTTTAAAGAATTTGAACAAATGCTAGTAGGTGCTCTTTAGAGCAAGAAATATGGATGGAAGATGTCATGTTGTAGTT